AAATTTTTTACTCCTTATAAAATGTGTTTTTTTTAAAAAGTTGGTTAGACCTGTCATGCTGATAATTTTCAGATATATTTGGCTTGGCTCGTTCGTTCGTGATTTGCTTTAGGACTAAACATAAAATTATTATTTATTGATTCGAACTCAATGACACTACTGTTGGAAACTCTCTATTCTCCAGTAACGTAAAAAATTGATTTTCATTTGAACCACATATAAATAAGGATGTCAATTAGCAAGCGAATGAAGTAGATTGAATAGGTTGCCTAGATATTGTGACCCACTTTAGCAAAAATTGGTTTCTAGAAAAGAAGGCAGTCCTTGCTCTGAATTCCTAGAACTCAGCGTCTTAGGTTCTGACATAGCGCCTTTGTTGCATTGGGGAGGGGGGAGGGGTATGAGAAGAAAGGAGAATATATATATATTTCATATATTCATATATTTATTTCAAACGACATGCGTTTCGATAGTTATCATTAGTCCTTTAGCTGTCGTTGAGCTTTACAGAGAGGAGGAGGGAAATCAAAGTGACGAAAAGTCTAAAGAGGGAACAGAAGGGTGATTCACAGATGTGAAAGAGTCAGACAGATATAAAGGCAGTGAAAAGGTAAGGTGAGTACTGTGAAGTGGTGAAATATGACATAGAGTGTGGTGATGGTAGTTTGAAGTCAGAAGTCAACTGCCGGTTTATAGACTTTTTTTGCAGTATGAGTATACGTTGCCCAGGATGCACCACGTGAAGGTAAGTCTATCACACACCTCAAAGGAGAATATATAATATGAAGTGTGTAGTGAATTTAGAACCCAAGTGAGTAGAAGCATTGATCTTCATTCACTTGCAATCTCTTTCCAACGCCAGGTCACTCACCGAAGTAAAACAGAGAGCCTGTGACGAGACGGGTTAAACCAACTCTGCCTAGCCAAAGCAGATTTAATGATAACACATTCCACAGTTTTGTCAGTCTCATAAGCCAGCTAGTATAAGTTCTCCAGAGGGGTGGGGGATGATATTAAACACCTCTCAATATTAGTTTAATCTCTTCATAAGAAGGTTCAAATAGAACATGCTCTACGGCTTACAGCTGTAAGATAACGACGTTGCCTTTATTGAAGGAACTTTGAAGTTCACTGCAGGATTCAAACAACATCTATTAATCATCCTGTGCCCATTTAGAAAATGACTTGTTTGTGATTTAAGATTAGAATCCAGTAGATATTGTTTGTAGCTAAGATGGAAATAGGTATACAATTCTTAGAGCTCACAGGTAGATAGGTCTCAAAAGTATTATTATTTCAAATGGCAGGTTTTATGATATTTATCATTAGTCCTTAAACTTTGACTTCAGTTTCCCCCATGGGTGGGGGGGGGTACATATATAGCAGTTAAGTAATAGCAATTCATTAGCAGCCTTCGGGCTTCCCAGTATCTCTGGGTTTCCGTCGTTGTCTTTAGGGCTGGACACCGAATCAGGTGGGTCTTCTCCATTTCCTCCTGTAGGTTACATAGGGGGCATGTGGGTTGAGTGTATACTCCCAATCAGTGAGGGTGTTTTGCCAGGCAATCGTGTCCGATACGTAGTCTTAACTCAGCAACGTCTTCGATTCTTGGACAGTCGGCTATGTTGAAGAGTGCTGCTGTCCACTGGTGTATACTCCCAATCTTTGAAGGTGTTTTGCCAGGCAATCCGTCCGGTACGTAGTCTAAACTCAGCAACGGCTTCGATTCTTGGCCAAAGTTAAACTCAGCAACGGCTTCGATTCTTGGCCAGTCGGCAACGGCTTCGATTCCTGGCCAGTCGGTTATATCGGAGAGTGCCAACTGTCCTTTGTTCGAGCTTTAAGTTCGTTGTACATTGAGGTCGGCTCTTCTGATTAAGAATTGTGTGGAAAGACATCGGTCGGTCCATGCATTGCAAAACGAAGACTAAAGTCATTAATGTTCGACTATAGTGAAGCATAAAATAAATGCCGTCGTTTGATATATTTTTAACTGCGTAATTAAATGTAGAATATCTAATTAGATAAAAAAATTTACATTTAACTTTATTTAATTATTTTAAAGGGGTAATTAACTTCTCAGGCAATCTAAAATATCTCAAAATATATTAATAGAACTGCTTCAAAATGACCCAGTTAAATGTTATTGTCCAATTTTAAGTTCAAATTTTGTCAGTTTTACATTAATCACAATCTTTTAAGTATAATTTACATTGAAATCGTTCATTTTTTAAGGGAAATTGTCCTTTTATAATATTATTTTCCTCAATGGATAAATAAAAGCCAGCATAAATGATAGTTATTTATATTTTTGGATTTAAGATTTTAATTTCTCTCTCTTTAATCATTGGTCTTCAATTTTTTACGCACAAACCATCAAATGTGCCAAGTCAAACTGTTGTTAAAAATTAAACGGACGATTAGCAACCTTTAATTCAAGACCCACCAAGATATTGATTTTCAATATCACACTTTTGTACTATTTCGTATCTATCAATCGTTAAATACTCTAAGGGATCGAAAATAGTAAATGTAAAAATTTGGTATTAAAAATTGTGTGTTCATAAGAGGTATTCCGAATCTCTTGGTTACGCACGATTAAGCCACACATCGAAGCTTTCCTATTGTCACTTTGTCTTGTTAATAAAATCGAAGTGCACTCTCATCAAAAATAGAGCCCTCTGATAAGATCTCGCTTATTTCGCCTATCTATTGAAGCTCTGTGGTAATTCAATTTGAACTCATAAAGTTAGACGCAGCGATTAAAGTTCGTTCCATCCTACGCTACTTTAACTATCCATGCAGAAATTTCCGTTTGTTTTAATGCTTTAGAAGGATATATACCAAATGGCAGGTGTTTTGGTAGTTATCATTAGCCATTTAGCTGACTTCGGGCCTCACAGAGGGGAAGGAACTTCAAGGTGAAAAAAAATCGAGAGGGCGGGGGGGGGGGGGGGGGGGGGGAAACAGAAGAGTGTTTCAAAGACGAAGGTAGATAAGGTGGAAAAAGGTGAGGTGAGTACTTTGGATGTAGCCGAATATGACATACAGTGGGGTCATGGCAGTTTGAAGTCAGAAGTCAACTGCCAGTTGATAAACCAGTTAATAGAACTTTTTGCCGCATGAGTATACGTTGCCCAGGATGCACCACGTGGAGGTAAGTCTATCGCACACCCCTGCTGTAGAAGGATGAATTCTCGTAGAAGTCTACCTGGCAGGCTTTAGTATTACAGAGAAATATATAATTTTAATTCCCAACTTCCTCTATACTTTCGCCTGAGGGTAGACCTTTGCTAGTAGTAAGTTTAAATCTTCAAAATCATTTATATAACTTGCACTCTTAACCGAGGTGCAATTTCTAAGATAACTTGCCCCCATATAAATCATGCGCAATTGTTTATAATTAACTTAGCCGACAGCATTTCAAAAGGAATGAAAATTTGAGATCAAATGGCATCCGCCAAATTTCATAAATTATGTTCAGGGCAGAGAAAGAGATCACGCAAAAAAAGGTTTCATTCTAAGGAATGATGGAGAAAAAAAACAGCGCATGAAAGAACGGTAGTCCACGAAGAAGGCCGAAGAAGTTATGAAGTGCCATCTAAGTGAAGTCTCTGGAAATGTATCAATTCGTTTTTCAGTTTGGATGCTGATTGTTCGAACTGGCGGCATATATAATGTTGGAAGCAAGAAAAAAAGGCGGGGAGGGGGGAGGGGGGATGTCTGAAAGAGCTAATTATAACCAGAAAGGGGCTTCAATTTATTTGATTATTTTTAAATGGCAATTATTTATTGATTTGTCTAATTTTACTCCTAGCTGCACGTGGCCGTAAAAAAGGTGGAGCAGGAGAGTCGAATGTCCGGACGAGTGAAGGTGATAGCTCACGAGGCCAATGGATTTCCTCTAGATAATTACCCGCGGTACCTCTATGAAAGTTTCTCTCCTGGCACAACTTCCTTCATCTTCTACTCCAAATCCCTTCAAAACAGCTACACTAACCGCAATCGGCCTTGCCAAATAGGACCCATCAAAGTTCAAGGCCACACATATGATTACGATCAGGTTTGCGCCATTTTTAATTAGATCGATATTTTGAATTTCCTTTTAATTGTTTAATAGAGCATTTCTGGAGCCTAGAGTGAGGCAAGAATAAAGAAACGACGAAAGCGAATTCCAAACTAATTTGCAAAAAAATTACTTGCAGGGGCATTCACTGAAGGGGTGGATGTGATGAGAAAATACAGTAGGATCCCCAGAAAGTACAGAAGGTGTGTCGGCTTCCCTTCGAAAGCCTAATCGGGTATTCTCGACACGCTCGTAAGAAACGCTCAAGCTCTATTGACGGTGCTCAGAATTTCCAGGCTAACATCTGGATAAGTAATATCACCTCTATAGAAACCACCACTCCAGTTGTCGGCTAAGAAGGCAGCAAATCGTTTATCACGCATCCATTCCTATATCATTTAATTTCTTTTATTAATAACAAACCTGACCTTTAGATCTCAAGTGGTAAAAACGCTTTATAAAGTCCAACTGAACGGTTTTAAAGGCTTCGTAAATCTGTATCAAATGGCAGGCCTTATGTTAGTTGTAATTGGCCCATTAGTTGATTTCTGGCTTCACAGAGTGGAGATGCATCAAACTCACGAAAATTCGAGAAGGGGGGACAGAAGAGTGATTCGTAGATAGAGGAGAAACAGATACAGAAGTAGAGTAAAAGGTAAGGTGAGATGGGTATTGTGGAAGTGGTGGAATATGACTTAGAGTCGGGTCATGGTAGTTTGAAGTCAGAAGTTAGCTGCTGGTTTATACACTTTTTTTGCAGTATCAGTATACGTTGCCCAGGTTGCACCACGAGTAGGCAAGTCTATTGGCTCCTTAAATAACATAATTGAAAGGACGGCAGCGTTTTGGAAGGTCTAAGTCATACAAAAGCGGTATTCCAGAGCCAAGTAACTGATAAAATATCTAAACGGTGGTTTCGCTGTTCCACCAGTGTACTTTAATTCCGCTCCCTCTAAATTTTTAGACCGATAAACAGTAATTTCTTAATGAAATTCAATCTTTCTTTGAAATAAGACTGAAGCTGTGCATTGGTCGGATAAATTCAGCCAAAAATTAGAGACGCAATCCTTAAATGTCACTTCCAATTATCCAGAACCTCCATATTATCCACTTTGCCTCGTCGCTTGAAGTGGTGTCTAACCTACTAATTAGCCTCCATTTCAAATTTTGAGGAAAAACGCCACGACTGTTTTTTTTGCGATTATGTGGTAATCGGGTCAAATGAAAGTCTTAATTTTAAGAAAAGGTGGGAAGATTCAATCTCCTTACTATATTTACTTATTTATTTTTAAGGAAGTACTTTAATTGAATTAGAGGCCGATATTGTTTCGGTTTATATTCAGTCAATTATGAAAAAGAATGACGTATCAAGCATAGAATTTTGATGAGTAGTTGCAAGAAGACTAAATAGGAATTCAGCCATTATTATTTCCACTATATCATTTCACATGACTGTTAACTCCACTTCTACTTCCTGTTCAAAGTTGACAAGTTTCGATTTCGTGATTTTAAATTGTTTTAAATTCATGTTCAGAGGTGATCGAGTGGCTATTTAATCCAATCGCGATAATTCGTCTACTTGCTTAATAGTCTTATTGATTATATCATCCCATCATATCGCTCTGTTTGAAATTTTAAGATTATGGGAAATTTAAGAAATGTTATCGTTTCATTGAATGCGTTATTTCAACACCATCAGTTATTTCCAATTCAAACTAACTTTAATTGCATTTAAAACCATGGTAATTGGAAAGATTTTTGAACGCCAAATGATTACGACTCCAACTAGGCAAAGTTGAGTTTCGGAAAGGGAGTAGTGAAGAATTTATTGATCAGCAGATCGATATTAATTTTGATATTTGCCTTCGAATCGTTCAATTTTTATTGGGCAGCAAGTTCCTTATCTCATATTTCGATAATCAAATTTACAAGTTTTGCCCTTGAATCCATAAAGAATTAAAGTCTATGATTTCCAGTGCAACCTCACCTGTAGATCGCATCATTTTTATGGCAAAGTATATGATATTAATAAAGATATCAAAAGTCAACATAATTTGCTCAGGATTGACTTTATTACCTCTTGGTATATTCGTTTAAAAGAAGCGATTTGAGCGCCTTGAACGGCCAAAATAAGCGCTGATAAACTTCCCTGTAAGTTTTGCCATTTTTATTACTCGTAAAAGTTTTGTGATAGTTCAGAATTTGGCAAATATTTCTTTAAAAGTAATCTTAAACTTGCCTTTTTCCTTCGGAACTTCCATTCATCTTCAGTAAAACAATTTTGATTTAATTAAAATTGGAATAATTAGAATCGATAATCAAAGAAGGATGTTTTAGGATTAGTGTAGAGATAATTCACCACTAAAAATTCTTAATAGCGATAGCCCTCTTAATACGAAAGTGAATGGAGTTTATATGATTCAAATCTGCGCGTATTTACATCCAAAAACGAACATTTTAAAGCTTTCTCTTATGAGTTAATACTTCGAATAAAATTCCACAAACTGTTTGAATGGACATTGATTTGGCAGCAATATCAACTCTTCTTGAATAAATAATACCCTTCAGGTAGCAATGAACATCGTGGAGGTGAATTCCGTAACATTAATTGTTCACTGAGTAGTACTGTGCAAAAGCAAATTATTAAAAGGTAAGTATGTTTATGGCGTATTGAAACTACCTATAACAGAACGAAAATTCAGTTAGTTAAACATAGTAACTTGATTCAAGCTAAATCTCTCTACGATCATTGAATTGTAGGAATGGAAATTGGACATCATGCAATAAGAGAGCTCACTGTTGATCTGTTAGACTAATTGATTGGTTAATAAGTTGTCGTTGGTCTGTTGTTCGTTAATTAACCAGAGACGCATTGAATAATCTGCGGTTTTGCACTTTGCCTGACTGTTCTTAGTGATCTGGACATCATTTCTGAGACGTATTCCTCTCTTAACCTTTCCACTTGAACAGCTGTTGTCTTCAGGCTTCATGGGATTCGAAAGTTTGACATCTTATGAAATCCTTTAATCAAGCATAAAATTCTTATGAGTTCGTTCAAGTCAAAATTTCGTTTATAGTTCTTCTCCGTACTATTTTCTATTGACCTAATTGAGGAGGTTTGATTATCCAATTTTTCAAATGATGCTTTGAAAAAAAAATTTATTGCCTACAAGTACTCATCATTGGAAAATGTACAAATTGGGGGTTACAATGTCACCGTAGGCAGACTGCTCAGATTCTCACTTCATTAAAAATCTGAAATTAAAATTCTAAGATTTGTTCAAATGGATTAATATCAATATCAATCTATTTCGACTGATTAATGGCATAAATAATTGTTTATACCATTTTGTAATTTCCTAATATAAAAGAACAGGCTTATCATTTATTAATGGCAGGCAAAGATGCCTATTATGAGAGAAAAATGGAATTCATTCAGACATTTTGCTTGGTTAAGTGTATTGTCATTTGCTAGACCAATTTTTTGCGAGTTTATAGCGCCCTAGTGGATTGGGATAGAACGTGTCTTGACTGCACAGCACCTTGGTATATTCTGATAAGTTGAAATCAAGGAGATGGGGTGAGCGATAGACTTACCTCCACGTGGGGCATCATGGGCAAAGTATACTCATACAGCAAAAAAGTCTATAAACCGGCAGTTGACTTCTCACTTCAAACTGTCATGATCCTACTGTATGTCATATTCCACCACTTCCATAGTACTCATTTTACCTTTGTGTCCGTCTATCTCTTTTACATTTGTGAATCACTCTTCCACACCCCCCCCCNCCCCCCCCCCCTCCTCCCCGCGACTTTATGTGACCCTGATATTCCTCCTCTCTATGAAGCCCGAAGTCAGCTAAAAGGCTGATGATAACTATCAAAACGTCTGCCATTTGTTATAAATAAATAAATATAATCAGGGAGACAGAAGACGGGTTTCAGAATTGCAAACAGTTATCAAGCCAACAACTTTCTGATTTATATTGAATCCACCACTTGTGATGTTCAAAAGACTGTCTATAACCAATTGACTCTATATTTTTATATGTATTCATTAGGCTGCTTGCCAATGGAAGAAGACCTGTGAATATCTTCATGATAAATGCAACTGCTATTGTCCCCTTGAGCTACTTCGATCCTGGGGAAGGGGACACTTCCTCAATCCCGCTCAAACTGATTTCACTAGGGAAGATTGCGTTCACAGTTGTATTTATGAGCAACAGATTATGCTTGTGGATGCCGCAGAATGTCCCTACGCCTGCAACACGGCAACCTACCAAAGGAACAATAAAATGGAGAATCCCAATGCCACCACTCAGGACAGCATTCAAGTGAGCTTCGTTCAACAGGATGCGGTCACTCAAAATACCGAGGAGGAACTATTCGGATTAGCCAAATTCTTCTCTGAAGTTGGCGGGTTGAGCTCATTCTTCTTTGGCTTCTCCTGTCTTGTGATATTTGAGCTTCTTGAGTCCTGCTATCGATTTTGGAATAGGTGGATTCGAAGAAGATCTACGCGAATTAGGAAGAAGAAGAATTTAGGCCGATTGTCGAAATCAATAGCTCTCTGTAGGGGAGAATCCTATGCCCCACACTGTGTTCCCAACTCCGAAGATAGCCCGATTTTCCTTTACAAAAATGCCCAACGGATGTGCCCCATTCAGGAATCCTTGCCTTCCACCGATTGTGATCTTACAGTATTATTGGATATTGACGGAATAACCACTCCCGTTTCTATCCAATAACAAAGAGCCTTCATATCTCATCGGCCCTTACACACACACACACTGTCTATAGTCTTGCCCTCTTTCTCTGTTTCCTTTTTCTAAGCCGCCTGTGTGTATCATGAACTCAGGAGAGGAAGACGGCTGTCTTTTTTTCATTACACTCGCCCAGCTTTGCCCAATTTTGTACCAAGTTTGATGATGGTGACGATTGACCTTGATGCTTCCATTCTAATTGATGCGATTGGCTGGGTCTATGATGTACGCTAGTTTCCTAGAGTGTTCGGTGACTATTTTTGAACAAAAGTAGTAGTGTCTTGATTCCTAATTGCCTTTTATACTTATATACATATACATTTACTTGCTTGTTTAGTTAAGGGGCGTGGAAGTGACTAACTTTCAAAATATGTAGTCATTTAAGAATAAACCCTTCGTGTTTAAAACTTTCTGCACGTGACTTCATTTATACTTAATTGCAAAGTTTATTGAAATTTGCGTCATAAATTAAATAAATTTATCCTTTACTTTTCGGGGTAAAAAAGTGAACTCTTGTTGCGTTAACTTGTTTTTGCTAAATTAAATTTAGATGATAGCTTGCCGATTATTTTAATATTCTATTAATAGGGAAACTGCGAAGATTGTTTAAATTTGCCTAAAATTGCTTTTGCAAAGTTTAAAATTATACAATCAGATTAGCTTACAGCTAGTTTTTCTGACAGTTCTTGATGGGCTTTTGATAGACCTGCGCATATATACCGTCAAAAAAATGAGTTTTTAGCAGAGAACTTGCCACAACTTAGTGAATGGCCAATGATATTAAGGATTCAAAAGAAACTGATTAGGAATTTCAGCGTCTTCTCTTATAATATCATAGAATTGGCTCAAATTCCTCGTTTTCTTTTAACACTTTGTTCTATTGACCCATTCACAGCTGAAGATTAGTTTGTGCAAGCTTTGAAGTTATGCTATTCAAAATTTTTTATTTGCTGATCAGCGAATAGAAACCCTACTGTTCCCTCCTGCCCAAATTTGATTTTCCTTCCACCAGTTGCCTGGTGAAAAAGTACTTTAACGTTACTCCCCCCCCCTCCCCCACCTCCCACTCGGTTCAATATGCTTTTGGACGAATGAATTGAATTAGGTCATGGATTCAGTTAACCCTTTCCCCCCTCCCCACCCACCTACCCCCCACAGCCCGGTAGCAACCTTACTGGGCGCATGAAATACTCGATTGGTTTTGGAATTTGCACAGTGTTATTGAACTCTTTACAGTCCCCACTTCTTGCTCCTTTATGAAATTTTTAAAAAAAGTAGCCAATCATTCATGAACTTGGCTAGAAGTTTCTGAGTACGCCATTTATCTTCCTTAGATGTCAACATGTGATTAAAATTTCTACTAATATGTGTTGACATTGTTGTTAGTAGAGAAATGATTATAATTTTGTTGTTAGTTCTCCTTTTCACATTAATTGGTTGAAATAACAGGGTAATTTTTACCCAAATCATTGGATATTTTCAGTAGTCAAATGTATTTAATACATTTTTAGCATTTCTAAACGAGAAGACAGATAATTACGCCCGGAATGAAATAATTGTTCAAACCTTGAATTGCCTCCTTTCTCATTTCGAGGTTACAACAACTGTTGGCCCAACAATTTCACCCGCCACATTGGAAATAACATCATTTCTTGAAGTATATTTCAAAATTACATTTCCGTGTTATGGAGAAAAAAGGGTACATGTTGGGTAATCTCCGTGTAAAGCCACACAGAGATAAGCGACAGCCAGGCAGGAAGTGAAATTTTTCAAGCCTTCCTCGTCTTAAGATAACATCAAGCAGCACATCCCTTGGCCCATAACCAGGTCATTCACCAAATTCCTCAATGTGTATGTGGGTGTGTGTAGGTGTGTACATATCGCCAATCATTATGGTATCCATGGGAATGATAAAATGTGCTTCCTTTTTTTCATTGTGGAAAAGATTGGGCATAAAGTGAGGGGGGGGGGGTAGGATACTAAAAAAATAATCAATATATTTGGAATATTCCAAATTTTATTATCTATTATTTATTTATTTATTTATAACAAATGGCAGGCATTTTGATAGTTATCATCAGCCCTGTAGCCGACTTCGGGCTTCACAGAGAGGAGGAGGAACATCAAAGTGACAAAAAGTCGAGAGGGGGACAGAATAATGATTAACAGATGTGAGTCAGACAGACACAAAGGCCGAGAAGAGGTAAGATGAGTACTGTGAAAGTAGTCGAATATGGCATACAGTGGGGTGATGGTTAATAGACTTTTTTTGCCGTATGAGTTTACGTTACCCAGGGTACACCACGTGGAGGTAAGTCTATCGCACACCCCTCAGAGAGAGATATCATCATTGTCTTTGGGGGGAACCTTGGCCTAGTGGACGATATGAAGCTCGATCTGAAATGCGAGTATTTTTGTAGATAAATGAGAATGCCAACACGACGAACTTCTCTAATTGAGACCCCAATTAACCAGTCGATCACATGCCACAGCCAGACATGAATTCTGGCCATCACGAATGGGACTATTACTATAAATAAGTCCAGACAGTAGTCAACTTTATTTTGCTATTTGCTACTATGAGTGGGCTGATGGGGGGGGGGGGGGTGAGGGAGGTGTGAGGGGTGGGGTTACTTTTGTCTTACTCTTTTAAATCGTTTTTCGCTTCAATTTGACTTTTATTTAACTAGTTTCTTGTCCCACAAATCTATTTTGTCATCTTTTCCCTCCCTTTAGGCTTCATTTTATCTTCCTTCTGTCTACTTTCTCACCTTTTTCTCTTTTCTGTTCTGTCTATTTCCTACGGCATTGCTACGAGGTGTGTAGGAATTTGTGCAGCTATTAACCCTGTCTCAATTTGTTTATCTAAGACTGTATTCACGACCGTATAGAATGTCACCTTCAAAGCAGATTCTTGGACCCAATGGCGAGTGGAAACCGGCTTCGACATCCTGCTTAATCGCGAATTTAATCATAACTATTCCTTTAAATTACCCCCCATGAACATCTAAAAGACTTAATTAAGGTAATCGGGCTTGCAGTCATTTAGGTCTGCAATTTTCCTTAAACCAATTTTGGCCAAGTTGATGGGGCCTAACCTTAATCTGCTTCTACCTCCTTTTGAGGCAGTTGTACGATACTAGCTTGTCTTGAAATTTGCTCAAAAAATATCTTCACTCAAACACAGTGACACGCGTGTGTGTCATGCTTTCTACTCCTCTTCACGCTACCCAGGCGATTTCTATGCTCCATTTCAAGGTTAAATCCGCACACTTCATACAACTATTTCGAAGGTAATTTTCTGTGTTGGCTGCTCTCCCCCATATGGTTGGCTCTCGCATCCATCCCCTCCCCCCACCCCTCCTCCTTGATCTTCATTCTTACGTCTTTTTATTCCGTCTATTTAGTCCTTCAGTTTTTCTCCCCCCCCNCCCCCCCCCCGCCCCCACCACTTATTGTACACTCCAATGTGGCCTGCTTTCAATTATTGACATTCTGATTTTTGAAATGCGTAGTAGGCTTCTACGCACTTAAGCGCTTCTAGATTTATTCCCAGTCCTTATGCTCACCAAATTGAGTTCAATGCTATTAATGCTCGAATGGCTTTTCTTAATATGGGCTGGTATTGCTTGGTTGGCTGGTTACAATGACCATACCACTTTCCAAACGAGGATGGAACTTGAGCATGACGTGGATAGAAGTTTAGTCCAGCATTATAAAACTTAAAATGATTGGCTTTATTTTGCTTAAATCGCGCGTTTTGGTGTAATAATGTGAAATGTGAATACTTTGTGTGGTTCTCAAATATTTGCATGCAATTCAGGGTTGGAATGTAACCTCTCAGTCTGATGACTATTTCAGACTTAGAAGTTTAAAATTGTCAGTATCTAATTGCGTTACCTAAAATTGGAGTGAACAGATTTTCATTTCCCGCCAACATTAATTGCACTTCAATATAACAAAGGTGACCTAGAGGATTAATCAGCTGAGTTTATTAGCAGGATCATGAGTTGCGTAACAATGAGCGCGTTGCTTCGCCATCTCCAATTTGACCACTACATCTCCTGGAATTAAATTATGGTGAATACCTCTCGTAATGCACCCAACTCTATAAACGCCTCGCGACAAATTATTGCACCGTTTTTTTTGAGTTGAATATCTGACGTAGGTAAAACAAAAGTTCTGACACGAATTCCTCAAGCGTTCTTTCCACTTACTTATTCAACAGAAAAAAAGAAACAACCAAATTGAGTAAAGGAGGGCATTAGGGAAAAACGCAACAATTTAGTGGCATCTTTACTGGAGCACTGTTTTATGGAGAGGTGTCAGTTACCTCGCCTCGATCTACTTGTCAGATTTGGGTCACGTTAATATGTCACTTCCTATCGATTGAGCCGTGCTTTTCCGTGAAGCCGGTAATGTTCTACTGCGCATATCCGCTGACTAAAACGCAGTTGTGAATTGTGTCAAAAAATTCATGATTGTCATTTATCTGGAATCTTTTCACCCCTCCCCCCTCCCCCTTCTCATCTTCCTTCACTCCTCCGCAATCATTCCATTCCCCATTGGTCCACCACAGCATTTCCCTCTACTTATATCCTACTGTATTTTGAGATGATGTGATTTAAAGGTGATGCTTCAACACCTAATTTAGATAATAAAAATGGCTATACCATGGGATGCCTTAATGTGTTCCCACAATGGTCATGACTTCACTCTCTCTCTCTCTCTCCCTCTGCCTCCTCTGTTCAACCAATAATTTTATACCAAAATCAATTGGAGTAGGGTGGGGGTGTTAATTGCCCGAGAAAGGGAATATAATGGTGAATTCGCCACAACAACCTTATTTTCAATGGTATTAATTAAAACCGGACAAAACACTGCCACAACCTCCCCCCCCCCCCCCCAACCCACCCACCCAACAGGTCAGTCTGTGTGCATTCAAAGAAGGAGAATGGGGTGCGTGATAGACTTACCTCCTCGTG